TCGTACATCACACACACTCATACCACGCAAAAATTAATTCCCCTTTACCGAATCCCACACTCGGCCGTTCCTGACCTATTTTGAGACAATTTTACATTTGTGATTTTTCAAGTTCGTATTTAGATGTTGTTTATATTTAAAAGTTTCTATGATAGCAAAACTTAGACTTGCATGTCACTAAGCACTTAAGGACTCAAATTTCCAAATACTTAGATTTGTATAGCTCCTAATTTTTATAGTTGCAAATACATATGTTCACAAATTCCTACGACCCCGAATTCCTAGGTGTCCAAATTCCTACGTCTTTAAATACCTACATCCCGAAATATCTACGTCCCCAACTTCCAGTGTCCCTAAGATCTTATGTCCCCAAACTTCCACATCCTCAAATCTCCACGTTCCCAAATTTGCACATCCCCACTTCTCCACATTCTCAAATCTCCACGTTTCCAAATTCCTACGTTTCTAAAATTCCATATCCCCAAAATCGTACGTCCACAAATCCCTATATCCTCAAATATCCACGTCCCCAAATCTCCACGTCTCCAAATCTCCACGTCCCCAAATCTCCACGTCCCCAAATCTCCACGTCTTTAAATCTCCACATTCTCAAATCTCCACGTCCTCAAATCTCCACGTCTCCAAATCTCCACGTTCTCAAATCTCCACATCCCCAAATCCCCACGTCCCCAAATCTCCAGGTTCCCAAATCTCCACGTCCCCAAATCTCCACGTCCCCAAATCTCCACGTCCCCAAATCTCCACGTCCCCAAATCTCCACGTCCCCAAATCTCCACGTCCCCAAATCTCCACGTCCCCAAATCTCCACGTCCCCAAATCTCCACGTCCCCAAATCTCCACGTCCCCAAATCTCCACGTCCCCAAATCTCCACGTCCCCAAATCTCCACATCCTAAAATTTCCACGCCCCCAAATTTCTACGTTCCTAAAATCCCATATCCCCAAATTCCTACGTCCACAAATCCCTATACCCTCAAATATCCACGTCTCCAAATCTCCACGTCCCCAAATCTCCACGTCCCCAAATCTCCACGTCCCCATATCTTCACATCCTCAAATTTCCACGTCCCCAAATTCCTACGTCCCTAAAATCCCATATCCCCAAATTCCTACGTCCACAAATCCCTATACCCTCAAATCTCCACGTCCCTAAATCTCTATGTCCACAAAACCCTGCGTCCCTAAAACCCTATAGCCCCAAATCTGTTTACCTCCAATTCTCTACGTCTCCAAATCCCCATATCCCCAAATTCACACGTCTCTAAATCCCCACGCCCCAAAGTCTCCACATCCCCAAATCCCCATACCTTGAAATCTCCATATTTGCAAACGCATAGATTCCCTGTCACTCCGCATTCAGAAATGTAAATAATCCTCTGCGCGAATTTGATTAACTGTAGTGGCAGCGAATCAAAATTCCCCATTGTCTATTGATACACAAGTGATATCCGTTGCATTGTCGTATCGCTTCCAACTAAGTTAAAGGAGGTCATCCTGTCTATGTACTTGCAAGTATAAGTGCATTGCATTTAACGCACCAAGTTAACTAATCCAATAATTTCAAGGATGGTCCTTTGATCAACGTAGCTGTAATGGTACCGAAAGTGGCATAACTTGGTATCTACCTGCATAAACGGAGAGGCGTTCAAATTTAACGTCATGTGACGCTATTCGTTGTAAATTGTCGGTGCTAGTTTTTGAAGACAATTTCTTGTCTCAATTCAATGTTTCTGATCACATTTTCTTATGGTTGTTACTTCTTTCTAATTTCTTTTATGATAGAAAGTTTGAGTTTCTAAATTAACCAGATATTCGGATTTTTTAATTTTTATTTTCAGTTTTTTTCAAATATTCAGGTTTTTTAGTTTTCGAATATTGAAATAATTTTGTTTACAAATTTTTCAACTTACAATTTTTAAAATTATGTTCAGTTTTATTCAAATTTTTCTAAATATTCAAGATTTTTAGTTTCCAAATATTGAAATAATTTTGTTTACAAATTTTTCGACTTACAATTTTTTAAATTATGTTCAGTTTTATTAAAATTTTTCTAAATATTCAAGATTTTTAGTTTTCAAATATTGAAATAATTTTGTTTACAAATTTTTCGACTTACAATTTTTTAAATTATGTTCAGTTTTATTAAAATTTTTCTAAATATTCAAGATTTTTAGTTTTTGAATATTGAAATGACCTCATTTGCAAATTTGTCAACTTGCAGCTTTTAAATTCTGATATTTCGAAATTTACATGTTTGCAGATTTTTAAATTAAGAAGTTTCAGTGTTCGAAATTGTCCAAGTTACAAAATTGGTACACCGGAAATTTCAGAATGATACATAAACTTGAAGATTCAAGAATGTGAAAACAGAGTTCACTCTAAATGTTGAGGGTCTCAAGGGATCAATCTTCCACTTCGAAAGCTGCAAATGACAAAAACTTACATTACTCTATTCACTAATCTCTTCTCTCATTTGACCGAATTCACTCACCTAACTACTGTACTATACCTAACGATCTCACTGTGTTCACTTTGATGCCCAGGGTTGGAAGATCAATCTTCAACTTCTGAATCTGCAACATAACAAAAGTGTATGGTAGTGTAACTAATCTCTTCTCTCATTTGATCAAATCCAGCTAAGTTAACAATTAATGTAGTATATTTAGTTTAACAGTATTGATTTCATTATGTTCACTTTGATGTTCAAGGTTGAAACATAGGATCAGTCTTAAACTTGTGAATTTGCAGTGTAACGAAAAGTTAGGCTACTTTACTGTCTTCTAAAATTGACCAGATTTACTTAAACTAGTTACTTCACTCAATTACAGAACTATACTCAATCTGGCAATATTCACTTTGATGTTCAAGATTGAAACAGCATAGGGTCAATCTTAAACTTGTGAATCTGCAGTGTAACGAAAAGTTAGGCTACTTTACTGTCTTCTAAAATTGACCAGATTCACTTAACCTAGCTACTTCATTCAATTACAGAACTATACTTAATCTGGCAATATTCACTTTGATGTTCAAGGTTGAAACATAGGATCAGTCTTAAACTTGTGAACTTGCAGTGTAACGAAAAGTTAGGCTACTTTACTGTCTTCTAAATTGACCAGATTCACTTAGCCTAGCTACTTCACTCAATTACAGAACTATACTTAATCTGGCAACATTCACTTTGATGTTCAAGGTTGAAACACTAAGGGAACAATCTTTTAGTTCCAAAATTGCAATATGAGGAAAATATGCAATATTATACTCACTAATGTCTTCTCTCATTTGACCATGTTCAGTTACCTAATCTAACAATATTGATCTCATTAAGTTTAGTTTGATGTCCAAGGTTGAAACTGTGAATGAGATCAATCTTCCAGCCAAGTTACAATATGAAAAAAGTCCACATTACTATACCTACTGATCTCTTTTCTCTATTCAACCAAAATAGCCTACCCTAACAACTACTATACCTAACCTAACAATATTGATTTCATCAAATTCAGTTTGATGTCTAAGTTCGAAACTGTGAATGAGATCAATCTTCCACATTTCAAGTTGTAATATGAAAAAAGTCCACATTACTATATCCACTGATCTCTTCCTCTATTCAATCAAATGAACCAACCCTAACGACTGTTATACCTAGCCTAACAATATTGATCTCATCAAATTTAGTTTCATCAAATTCACATTGATATCCAGGGTCTCAATGTTGAATGACCAATCACCCTCTTTCAAATTTGTAATATAACGATTGTACCTACTGCTCTACTCATTAATTTCTTCTCTTATGTGACCGGAAATCAGTCACCTAACTCACCAATGTTGATCTCATCAAATTTAATTTGATATCCTAGGTCTCAATGTTAAAAGATCAATATTACACATCTCAAGCTGCAATATGAAAAAGTCCACATTACTATACCCACTATCTCCCATTTAACTAAATAAACCAATCCTAACGACTACTATACCTAACAACAATATTGATCTTGTTATGTTTAGTTTGATGTCCAAGGTCGAAACTGTGCAAAATCTTCCACTTCCACAACTGATGGACACTTTGATGTTTAAGATTAAAATTATAAGGGATCAACCTTCCACTTGTGAATTTACAAATATAGCCAAAATCTACACTGCTGAACTCACTAATTTCTTCTGTCATTTGACCAGGTTACCTAACCTAACAACATTGATCTCATCAAATTCGCTATGATGTTCTAGGTCTCAATGTTAAAAGATCAATCTTCCATATCTGAAGCTACAATATGATAAAAGACCACAATACCAATCTCTTTCCTTTTATAACCAAATTAACCTAACCTAACGAGTACTATACCTAACCCAACAATATTGATTATAAGGGATCAACCTTCCATTTGTGAATTTACAAATATAGCCAAAATCTACACTGCTGTACTCACTAATCTCTTCTGTCATTTGACCAGGTTACCTAACCTAACAACATTGCTCTCATCAAATTCACTATGATGTTCTAGGTCTCAATGCTAAGAGATCAATCTTCCATATCTTAAGCTACAATATGATAAAAGATCACAATACAATACCTACCAATCTCTTTCCTTTTATAACCAAATTAACCTAACCTAACGAGTACTATATCCAACCCAACAATATTGATTATAAGGGATCAACCTTCCATTTGCGAATTTACAAATATAGCCAAAATCTACACTGCTGTACTCGCTAATCTCTTCTGTCATTTGACCAGGTTACCTAACCTAACAACATTGATCTCATCAAATTCGCTATGATGTTCTAGGTCTCAATGTTAAAAGATCAATCTTCCATATCTGAAGCTACCCTAGGTCTCAATGCTAAAAGATCAATCTTCCATATCTTAAGCTACAATATGATAAAAGACGACAATACCAATCTCTTTCCTTTTCTAACCAAATTAACCTAACCTAACGAGTACTATATCTAACCCAACAATATTGATCTTACCACTTTGATGTCTAGGGACGAAACGGTAAAGGATCAATCTTCGTGTGGGCGTCCGGCAACGGCGGCAGGGATCACGACAACTGCAACTGCGACGGTTACACGAACAGCATCTGGACGTTGTCGATCAGCAGCGCCACAGAAAATGGCCAGGTTCCATGGTACAGCGAGGCATGTTCCTCCACGCTGGCCACCACCTACAGTTCTGGTTCCACCGGAGAAAAACAAGTGGTGACCACCGATTTACATCGTCTTTGCACCAGCAGCCACACGGGTACCTCCGCCTCGGCGCCCTTGGCCGCCGGTATCTGTGCCCTTGCCCTCGAAGCGAACAAAGAACTCACTTGGAGAGATATGCAGCATATTGTGGTGCGAACGGCGAAACCTGCCAACTTGAAGGCTCTTGATTGGGTCACCAACGGTGTTGGGAGAAATGGTGAGAGTTATCGGATGTCATATATCTGCCGGTTGGATAATGTGATATTTTTTATATAGCTACTCTTTTGCTATTTTATTATTTTTGAGACTAGTTATTTTTATTGTTTTTATTCGTCGTTATAGTTATTCGGATTATTTTTTTTATTGTACTTGTCTGAGTATTTTGGGGAGTGAGTTTATGAGCTTTTTTAGCTGAAGTTACGGAGCCAGATAAATGACCGCTCCATAAGTGGAGTCTTGGTACAATTTACACAATTTTTTTTTTTAAATCTTAATTTTCATCAAGGTAGTATATCAAGGTGTGTAGTAATTTATAGTTTCTCTCTGTTTGTTTATTTTTTAACTTCATTTTTAATTTCAAATTAAATACTCATTATAGGTTAGTAAGTTTAGTGAATATTTAATATTTTTTTCTCTAATATAATAAAACTATAGAATTCATAACTGTAGAAGTCATAAACCCCTCTAATGAAGCGACAGAAATAAAATGTGCTACGTTAACGCTGAAGGCACCAAGCCAGTTAAATGACCGCCCCATAAGTGTCTTATTACAAGTTACATAGTGTGTTAAAATTTTTTCCTTGTAATCTTGATTTTCACAAAGGTAGTATATCAAAGTGTGTAGTAATTTATATTTTGTCTCTGTTTGTTTATTTTTTAACTTCACTTTTAATTTCAAATTAAATACTCATTATAAGTTAGTAAGTTTAGTTAGTATTTAATATTTTTTCTCTAATGTAATGAAACTATAAAATTCATAACTGTAGAAGTCATAAACCCCTCTAATGAAGCGACAGAAATAAAATGTGCTACATTAACGCTGAAGGCACCAAGCCAGTTAAATGACCGCCCTAAAAGTGTCTTATTACAAGTTACATAGTTTGTTAAAATTTTTTCCTTGTAATCTTGATTTTCATCAAGGTAATAAATCAAGGTGTGTACTAATTTATATTTTGTCTCTATTTCTTTGTTTTTTAATTTCATTTTTAATCGTAAATAAAGTACACATTATAAGTTAATAAGTCTAGTGAATATTTTTTTTTCTAATTCATTGAAACTATTATGTATCTTCTCTAATGTTTACGTTTGTCATAAACCACTTTAATGAAGCTATAAATAAAATGTTACATCACATGAGTATATAAAATCATAACAACCTTACGTCCTAATAAAAAAATTGTAAAGATACATTTTTGTACCAGCACTCAAAAAGTCCATCGAATATTTGTTTGCAGTGAGTCACAGTTTCGGCTATGGTTTGATGGATGCAGCTGCCATGGTTCGTTTGGCCAGAAAATGGCGAACGGTGCCAGAACAACACAAATGTGAAGTGTCAGCACCACATATGGGCAGGTTCGTTTGCCTTTTTTTAGAACTCCATTATCGAGCACAAAAGATCGTTTTATTTCCTCGATTCTTAAGTAGGTTCGTGAATTACAAAGTCACCGAACACTGAATACGACTTCGGAATCTCGGGTTTTCGTGAATTGAATCGGAAATGACGATGCAATATGATCTACCATTATTTCCAACGTTGACTCATGAAAAGGCAGAATCTTTTCTTCGATATTTCAGTATTAAAATTTTTATGTTAATTACGTTCTTTAATATTGAGCAATTTTAGTTTCTGAGCAAATTAATTTCGGTTAATAAAATTTTATGATAATGAACAGAAATTGCGATAATTTTAATATTGCAAAGAATTTCAGATAATTAACCTTTTTGAAATGTCAACAATTTATAATAAATCCCTTGCAGCTGACTTAAAAATAAATACAGATTTAGAAATCATAAATTCGAATAATGAAAACATCTGAAATAATTAAAATAATCTGAAATATTTAAATCTGAAATGAAATTTCGCGCTACACTTTGCTGACCTAAATTTCGTATATATCGCAGGCCAATACCACCAAAGAGCCAGTTAACTCTGGAATTACACGTCAAGGAGTGTAGCGGTGTTAATTTTCTCGAGCACGTGCAGGTAAGTACTTGTGTCACTCACGTAAATAGCGGTTTAATTAATAACTGTTAAAATATCGCAGTCCGTTTAGTATCAGCGATCATATTTTTATGCGGCCTCATTCTAACTAATTGCCTGCAGCTATTAATGTAAAATTACAATTAATTTAATAGTGATGATTATTTTTAATAAAACGTGGAAGATTGAAAATTGCGTATCTAGAAAATCTGTATTTGCGATAGGCAAAGGTATCCCTGATGGCCTCTCGAAGAGGGGATCTTCAGATCCAGCTAACATCTCCGCAAGGCACGAAGAGCGTCCTCCTCGCAAAAAGGCCACACGACGTCTCGAAGGCTGGTTTCAATCAATGGCCATTTATGTCGGTTCACACTTGGGGAGAAAGGCCACACGGCACGTGGAAGCTTGAAATCCACAATGAGGGTCGATACCAAGGTAAGTCCATTGTATGCTTCTTTTTATTCCTCTCTTTCATCGCCTAGGATATTTCCAGATGGCTTGAATGAGACTTCATTCCTATCGGGTACTTTATCAACTTCTTTTTATATCAAAAAATATCTCTCACAAATTGTCCGTCGAACTGTGCAATTCTGTGAAACATTAAATTGCAATTCCTTGCCTCTCGCGAGACGACGCCATTACTGCATATTTTATATTTCAGTCGGGTTATCTGTCCCTTTGGGTCCATGTGGATTAATAACGATATCGAACGGGTCATTTCACCCATTATTATATGTGGCTGACCATGTACATATGTGGATAGTCATATATGTGCGTAACCATATGTGTTGTCACATATGTGGACGGTCATATATGTGGCTAACCATTTGTGACCATATGTGACCAGTCATATCTGACTGGTACATATAATCTATATGATTATGTACATATGTGGACAGTCATATATGTGAATAACCAAATATGTAACAGATCATGCACATGTGAGGACGACCACATATGTGGATAAGTGTATTCGTGACTCGTCATGTGTACATATATGTGAATGGTTATATATGTGATCATGTATGTGTCGTACACATATGTCGATAGTCATATGGATAATCATATATGTGGCTAGACATGTACATATGTGAATGATCATATATGTGATCATGTATGTGGATAGTCATGTATGTAACCAGATATGTATACATATGTGAAGGATCACGTATGTGGGAATCATATATGTGACCAATCATATACTTATGTGAATGATATGTCTACGTATAATCATATGTTTGATCACATATGTAGATAATCATATATGTGACCAGATATATATATACATATGTGAAGGATCACGTATGTGGGAATCATATATGTGACCAATCATATACTTATGTGAATGATATGTCTACGTGTAATCATATGTGTGATCACATATGTAGATAATCATATATGTGACCAGATATGTATACATATGTGAAGGATCACGTATGTGGAAACCATATATGTGACCAATCATATACTTATGTGAATGATATGTCTACGTATAATCATATGTTTGATCACATATGTAGATAATCATATATGTGACCAGATATGTATACATATGTGAAGGATCACGTATGTGGGAATCATATATGTGACCAATCGTATACTTATGTGAATGATATGTTTACGTATAATCATATGTGTGATCACACATGTAGATAATCATATATGTGACCAGATATGTATATACATATGTGAAGGATCACGTATGTGGGAATCATATATGTGACCAATCGTATACTTATGTGAATGATATGTTTACGTATAATCATATGTGTGATCACACATGTAGATAATCATATATGTGACCAGATATGTATACATATGTGAAGGATCACGTATGTGGGAATCATATATGTGACCAATCGTATACTTATGTGAATGATATGTTTACGTATAATCATATGTGTGATCACACATGTAGATAATCATATATGTGACCAGATATGTATATACATATGTGAAGGATCACGTATGTGGGAATCATATATGTGACCAATCATATACATATGTGAATCATATGTCTACATATAATCACGTATGTGATTATACATATAGATTACCATGTATGTGATGAACCATATAACCGTTCATATAGATATGTACCTGGTTCCATACGTAGATAGCCACATATGTGATTGACCATGTATGTAAACAGCCATATACAATAAAGAACCTCTTGATTTTATATATTCAACTTCGTCTTAATAAATATTTTCCTAATAATAAAAATTTAAAATAAGTAAAATATAATGAGAAAGTAAAATTGTCTCTGACAAATAATGTACTGCACATGAATGGACTCAAGAAACCTCAGACAAATTACAATTTGCTACGTTCTCACGTACTAATTAACGGTATACTTTCACACCTCTGATAATCTCCCAGAAAATTAATTTGCACACGTTCGGTGAAAGAAAATAGGCTTGCGCAAATATTAAGACGCCTCCAGGTTGCTCCCTCGGATTCATTAATGCTAACAGCTGTGTAAACTTCATTACGCACAATTTGTCTTTAAAATGGCGCATCTGTTCCTGCTGTGTTCATGCACGGCAAGTTCTGACGTCTTCCATGCTTCAGGTGTATTCTAGATGCAAATGTTTGTACAGCGTCATCTTCATCATCGTTAAAGTATCATGATACAACGAAACAGTTTGTACAGGTATCAAGAGTTGCAAAGCTTTAGCAAACGTAATTTGTCGTAGTGAGGACATTCTTCCGGGAAAAATTTACCCTACACTGCTGTTATTAACACTCGAGTTTCACTGCTATTTGACGAAAGTGTGCGGCACTTCAGGTGTGCGGAAACAACTTCAGACAGGTGTTTCCTGCTCTTGCTGTATCATTTCATTGTCGCCAGTTCTCTGCTACTTTGCAACGTTTACTTTTCATTAATTTGGCATTTTTATTACTGCAATTTGCATTGTACATATTTTCGATGGTTTATGGTAGTCATATGACCTTGAAATAATAACCTTGTACTCATTCATGTACTTTCATTCATGTAATCATTTATTGACCTTATGATTCATTTTAGACTTGAAGATTCCTGTCAGATCTGTATGATTCAATCAATGAACAGAATTTACCATACTGTGAATATTCATATGTTCACATGAATTTCTCTGAGTACTCAAATTTGACTAGAATACATACCAATCAATGGAAATAGTTGTAACTGTAAATAGTACTGATGATCAGATTTTTCTACAGAGAGTACATGACCCAGTTAAGCTAAAATCACATCAGAATTAAGTCAACATAGTCCTATCAGCACCTACTGTTATTTCATAATATAAAACATATGACAGTGGTTGAGCAATGTGTCATATTGAAATTCTTCTAAAAAAAAAATAGTTTACATGTACTTAACAATGCAACCTATAATCTCCAACAATTCAGACCTTCAGTTAGTCAGCCAGTTCCACATATCAATCAATTACATCATGAGTATAAAATAGGCAAATAGTTTATATGTACTTGTCAATGCAAGCTATGAAACGTTCAACAATTTAGACCTTCAGAGTCAGCTCCACATATCAATCACATCATGAGTATAAAATAGGCAAATTATCAGGAGAAATTAGCTTGTAGAGTAGAATCAAAGTTTGCCACAGAATTGGCATCTAGTTAGAGTCCGCCAGTTCCACATATCAATCAATCACATCATAAGTATAAAATAGGCAAATAGTTTATATGTACTTGTCAATGCAACCTATAAAATGTTCAACAATAAAAAAAAAATAGTTTACATGTACTTAACAATGCAACCTATAATCTCCAACAATTCAGACCTTCAGTTAGTCAGCCAGTTCCACATATCAATCAATTACATCATGAGTATAAAATAGGCAAATTATCAGGAGAAATTAGCTTGTAGAGTAGAATCAAAGTTTGCCACAGAATTGGCATCTAGTTAGAGTCCGCCAGTTCCACATATCAATCAATCACATCATAAGTATAAAATAGGCAAATAGTTTTCAAGTACTTGTCAATGCAACATATAAAATGTTCAACAATTTAGACCTTCAGAGTCAGCTCCACATATCAATCACATCATGAGTATAAAATAGGCAAATTATCAGGAGAAATTAGCTTGTAGAGTAGAATCAAAGTTTGCCACAGAATTGGCATCTAGTTAGAGTCCGCCAGTTCCACATATCAATCAATCACATCACAAGTATAAAATAGGCAAATAGTTTATATGTACTTGTCAATGCAACCTATAAAATGTTCAACAATTTAGACCTTCCGAGTCAGCTCCACATATCAATCACATCATGAGTATAACAGAGGCAATCAGGAGAAATTAGCTTTGGAATCGGATAGAATCAAAGTTTGCCACAGAATTGGCATCTAGTTTCCTGTTAATCGGCGTGATCCCATAGATTGTAACACCTAGATGAGTAACGGACAGATGGTATCTAATCGCTTGATCTCGGAGGACATAAAGGGAATTCTCGTAAAGCATGCACACATGGGAGCACGTAAGCCGCTGCATCATCTCCCAAGGGCATAATTCCATATCCGAAACGTGTTCCCCCGCGATGGTGTCTGGCAACATAACGGATCTTGCGAAACCGCTAAGGGAAGTTGACCTTGCAGAGGGTGGTGAGGAGCACTCGAAGCTGGCAACCCGTTAAAGCCGATATGTGCATAAAGTTCGAGTTAACCTGGTCTTGTACAGCTATATACACGGTTGTAAGCGAGGTTATCCAGCCGACAGGATAGAACCTAGCCCTATTATGCCGCGTAATATACAGGTTACATTCCAAGTACAGCCATTGAAACCATTACGGACCGTGTTTACGTTGATTCTCCCTGTACATCGCTGCGAAATCCGCTTCGTGTCGTTGACGTTGTCGAAGGACAATATTGTGATAGGGGCATCTGCTGGAAAATCGTTATTCTGATCGGTACAACGTGTTTCGGGGGTCGTTACATGATTTTCGAAAGAGATTTCGAGGGTAAGATTTCAAGATTTGAAAGGTTTCGAGCGTCGGAGATATTTTGTTTTCGGGAAATTGGTTGCTGGTTGTTGATTTGGGGGATATAGCGGGGTCGTAAATTGGCATGTGAATTACTGTGTTTGGTGTTGAATTTTGAAGCATTGGGATTTTGGGAGTTTGGAATTTTGGTGTTATGGGGTTGTGGAATTTGGAAACTTTTGTTTTTGGGGACTTTGAGGTGGTGGAATTTTTGTGTTTTGAATTTTGGGATTTTGGAGCTTGCAGCTTTGATATTTTGGGATTGTGGGAGAGTGGAATTTTTTACCTTTGGGGATTTGAAAGTGTTGGGATTTTTGAGTTTTGAATGTTGAGATTTTGGGATTTCAAGGCTTTTAAATTTTAGAGCTCTGAAATATTGAAATTTTAGGATTTTGAAATTTTCAAATTTTAGGTACTTTTCACTTTCGAATTTCTAAATTTTTTAAATTCAGT